CATTCCTGATGATGACATAATTAATGTCGAAATATTGAATCCCAACACGATGGCGTGTATTTCAATACTTGGAGTATGTATTATACTTTCTTATCTGAGATTAATCAGTGGACCTTTCGGCCATCATTTTAAAGCTTATAATGTTGAGAATAAGAATATTCAATTTTCATTTTTTTTTTGGGTCACTGATACAGGTTTGAGATGGGATGATAACAAGCCTGATGTAACAGTATAGGCACATCATGACTATATAAAGGCCAACTCAGACAGCGTCGTCCGACGCAGCCCGACCCTATTTATCGTCGGGGACGGTCTTAAGCCGTCTTGAAAAATATTAAACATGTTTAATATTCTACAACGCGACTGCCCTCGACGCACATCATCGCGTCTGCGTTTAACTCACACAGACCCGACGCAACAACAAATCGCGTCGGGCTGCGTCGTACGACGCTGTCTGAGTTGGCCTTAAGGTCACACGATAGTTGTTTTGTCAAATAAAATTTGATAGTCTGGACAGGGTTTTATCACACTTTCCAGGGTTAGTTTCAGGGTTCGATTTCGAATTATAGGGAGCTTTTGATTGCATGACGACGGTAGGACATAGAACGTAATGACGTCACTAAAAGTCATCGGCGCATGCGAAAACGTTAAGGTCACCTCGTAGAGTAGATTCTGGAATGCAACTTGGCTAAATCTATGTATGCAAAGAATGTAGGACGCCCACGCATGAGTGATTTCGTTCTAGCGTTGCGTCGTCGCACAAATCCCTTACGAAAAGTGTAGGCTTTGGCACCGAGACCTCTCACGATTAGTGCCCAAAAATGTTTACAAAAACGTAATGCAGTATTGGCATATTCACCACTATTGTACATTTTCCAAAAATATTTCAGCCGCTCCAAATCTCTTTCCTATTCTTCCTTCTTCCTTTCACAATTTTGCGTTTATTCATATTTTTCATAATTTTATACACTCGCATAGTCACTGATATAGGCCTAGGCTAGACCTCGGCTATGCCTATTACTATATTATTTAAATATACAATTTTAATGTATAAGATTAATTAAACATTGACACAGTAATTCATACGTATATAATACATTAAATTTAAATATAATATAATATAATATATATAATAACGTTAACGAATAAATAACAATAATTAAAACGTGTACATAGTATCACTATTACAATAATAAGAATAATATTTTTCAATCTTATAATCAATTTTATATAGCCGAAGTTAGTACTGACCTACAGCTAATATAGCTAACGACAGGTACGCTTTCTCCAATATAAAGGCTTTATCTATGAATGAAATGACCTGTACGAAACACAAACTCCTGTAGACCAAACCAGTACCATTACGATTTTAATCATGCGGGAAATATCCTCAAGAAGCACTCGCTGGTCTCTTTTAACTCACTGAGCAGAACACCTGATTGTGCTGAGAGTATTTCCAAAACCCCCTTGAACGGTCATTTGCACATAAACTCGGAAATATTAACCGTTTACCTCTCCCAAAGTTTAATATTAACAGGACTAAGAACTTTATTGTATTGGTGGTAAATTTTTTGGCTTGATTTGATTTGAAGTACTTTAATCACAATGCAATAAACAATATCTTTTCAAATTTCTAACAGTTGTCTTACTTTGGCGATGTGCCCTATTGAATCTAATACACCACAGTTTCCTTAGAAGGAAGAACCTACATGTTGAGGAGAGATCCACAGGTAGACTGTCATCCCAACCCCCTCCCCCCAACCCCAGGGAAGACTTACGATAATTATAAAGAAGCTGCCGGGATAACTCAATATCTATCATTTCGAGTAGATAAGATGCAAATAGAAATTCATGATTTACTTGAGTATACAAATGCAGAGTATATAATTAGACCGATATTTTGATCCCGTCAGATCGTTTCTGAGGCCTCTGCTTACACTTTAAATAGCACCTAGTTTCCGAAACCTCTGCTTTCACTTTAAAGAGCATCTACTTGACCTTCCCAGGTCGTATTTCAGTCCAACAGCTTTTAATTAAGTAAACGTCGCAGTGGCATATACGTACCATATCTATACTTATTTTGCGTAGGGTTTGGAACTGTTTACTTGTCAATGTTTCGAAGATATTGCAGTTCTCGCATTGCAGTAGCTTGAAGGCAACAGCTAATGAATGATTCTCCAAAACAGACTCATCATTGTACATAATAGCAAGTTCAGAACCTTGTTAGAGAAATAAAAAAATTAGCAAAATTAAGACCTTGGTGGAAAAAATTACTTATAATTTGGACTTTGATGATGCAGTTGAGGCTCTTCACCTTGAGGTTATAGGTTCAAATCACTGTAATTGACTTTAATTTCGACCAATTACTGCACTTTATTGACTGTAAATAGTTACCTGGTAGGCTTGCAATATTGTATGCATCAACTGTTGATGTTGGTTGTTATCAATTAAAATGGTTTCCCTTTGTCATCCATGTGGAATCATACAATGGCAGGCTACATTATAATAACACCAACAATAATAATGCAAAAATACTTAAGCCTATTTTTGTGTGTGTATATTTAAGTGATTTTCTTTCTATTGATCGGATATGAACTTACCTTTGGCATGAGTGAGTCAAGACCAGGGGAATATCTCATCCCATTGTCTAATCTAGCCTCAGTCGTCCTTGGCCTGCTCACACCTTTTATATTTCTAAGGCTTTATTAGACTTGACTGTAAAATTGATTTTTCACAATATTTTTATCCAAAATTAAAGAATGACATGCGTAGCTTCGCAGTAAATGTTGCCCACTTTTGATATTGAGTAATAATCATCAAGGTTCGAAATGAGACAATTAGTTAATAAATCTCATTAAGGTAGCCAACTTCAACATGCTACAGTAATTTAGGACTACTACTGTATATTTCACTATTTCCTACTACATGTTAATCCATAGAACAAATACTATAGATACTAATCAAGGATTTAACTGCTGGTGTGTGTCACAACAAAGCCCACACCTTAATTTTTAGCAAATTTCACAGCCATTTGAACTTACTTGTTGCCACCAAAAACTGATTATTCAAGCCAGGATGGTCAACATCATGAATAGCGCCCCCAAACAAGGCAGCCAATATTTCGAGATCTGTAAAGACATTCTGGAGAAATACAAAAAAAAAAAATAATAATTAAAGGCACATGGGTAGCCACCACAGATGTTAGGGATTTTGCATTATCATCACTGTCGCCATCAATCTCCACAAAAGAACGCTACTCTCTCCAAGTATTATGGTTACAATACTGAGTTATGAGGTCAATTAGTATTGATAACAAGAAAACGTGAAGAGAAGCAATGTGAATAATTGATCACATCACAGATGAGAGATTGACAGTGTTGTCTGCTGACATGGATTAGAAAGTAATGCAGTCAATGTACAAATTAAACCAACACGTGTACACATCTTTCACGGATTTCCACCATTTCATAATGGAGCAAATATTAGCTAAAAACCTTGATTAGAAGCTGCTTCTTTTTTCAAAGGAAACTTGGATGGGCTTCTTTTCTAGATGGGTCTCTATATCATGATTACTTTTGCAAACTAAAGAGGGGGTTTCTTTTCAAAATGAATGCTATACATTTGGAATTCCTACAAGAAGACATTATTTAACTATGGAATTCAATATTCTGTTTAATAATTTTTTAAAAGCTTTTACCATGCTAAAACAATAAAATAATATTGATACTGACACGCTATCATATTAATCAAAATAAAGTCAGCCTACATTTAGGTGTACTATCTTGAAAGTGCCCATATTATCTTGATAAGAAGTCCATGAGTTTTTTTTATTTTTTTATTTTGAGATTGACCGGGCTTCTTCTCGCGATTAACCCCATAGGGCTTTTATTCGAGGTTTTACAGTATCTTATTATCATTATCTTATTATCATTATCATCACTGACAATTCTTACATTAGCAGTGTTCAGTGGCGTAACTACCGCACGTTCAGCAGGTTCGTTGAACCTGGGCCCCAATCTCCAGGGGTCCTGATCTATAATGGCCCCACTCCCATATAAAAAAAATATAATAAGCAATTTTTTATTGTGACATTTAAAAATTTGCTTCCTTCTAGCCAAGTAATTTTTGGAACCACAATAACTTGTTTGATTTAAATCCATAGTTTTCAACTTTTTCTAGTAGTAATATATGATTCATTGTGTCAAAACAATGTACAATATCGATAAAGCATGTAGCTATCATTTCGCGGTCATTAATAGATTCTAGTAACTAATCATCTAAGTATTACACAATGAAGGTTGGTCAACATTTATTTTATGTGGCCATTTTCAGTGAAATATGTAATAATTTGATCTTGGACATACTTTTCAACAATTTTAACTATGTGGCATACCAGTCAGATTGGTCTAAAAATGCATAAGTGTTAACAGCCTTCGTTTGTTACATTTACCTTTGTATAGGGTAGTCATTGAGACTTCCAATCGTTCGGAACCATACCATTCACCTTGAATTCAAATTCAAGGTCTCTAACCCGAAATTTAAACTAAATGTTAGAAAATATTCATACGCAGTTAGAGTTGTGAACGATTGGATTCAATTACCAAATCATGTAGTTGAATGTAAAACAATTAATGAATTTAAATCGGGCATTGCTAAATTTTGGTCTGACCACCACCTTAAGTTTTATGTTACGTAACAGTTTGCACAAATGATAATTGGGGGACAAATTGGTCTTCAAGGTAAATTCAATGTAATTTATTATTATTATTATTATTATTATTATTATTGTTAATAATATTATTATTATTGTTATATTAAAAATATTATCATTATTATTATTATATATATTTATTTATAAATCAACAAAGAGATTTCGCAATATAGCATAATGCCAGCCTAGTAACAAAATTATTAAACATTAAGGTTGTTATTTTCAGATAAACATAACAGATTATTTTCAATATTACCAGATACAAGGCCCGTAGTGTGTGAATGTATTCATATTCCTGATGACGACAACGATGGCGTGAATTTCAATGCTTGGAGTACATTATGTTTTATACTCTCCAACAATTTGGGTTTTTCATTGTTTCATTTTATATTAATTGAGTTTTTTGTTCCTACATTATTCAAATAATTACTAAAATGTTCACAATAAAGATTTTAATGTTAAGTATTTCATCCCCAAACGTTTTGGATCGTGTTTATATTGGTTTTTAACTATTGAAGCATAATCTGATTTGGATTTACGAATTTTACTCCTGCATTTGTTTCTAAGAGAACGATATGTATTAAAACGTGTTTTGCTACCATGTTTATCGGATAAGCGTTTTCCATGATTATGGTCATACATAAGTCTGACAATTGTCAATCAATTGTTGACATCGTTCAATGGATAATCCGATAAGTAAAATAAAATTCAGTAAATATCTAATGTTCCATAAGAAAATTCTTATTATTATGGTCAGTCCAGCAAATAGCTGCTCTCCAAAATGCTGTCTGACATTTAATTTTAAAAATATAAAAAAATCGAAAGATTTATTGTCAAAATAGTATAAAAAAATCGGAGGGACCTCTTAACCATATCGGTGGAATACACATCTTAGTTGACATGGTCAGTCAATTTGAATGCGTCAAGGGCCCCGACTGTACTCTTGAAACCAGGGCCACTCACGACCTAGTTACGCCACTGGCAAAAAAAAAGAAAGTAGTAACAAAAAGAGAAAACTCCTCTTGGAATATTGGGTTCCAAATTTCACTTGAGACCATGCAGTGGTGTGACAACTGTAGCACCAACCAGAGGGACCAGAGATATTAATCGGCATTATTTTGTCAGGATCATGGGCCATAATCAGTCAAAAATAATATGCCCCTTAAAATTTCAGAAACACCATAGCAGAAGGACCATGCACTCCACTATACGTCCCAACACATACCTCAACTGCCAAGGTAGTTGGGTCTCAAGCCTCAGGTCTCTTTGTTACACCACGGCATTTACACCACATGCTATTAATTGCCATTCTTGTAAACTTTGGGGTGCTTTCTTTAGCCAAAGAAAAGCTACAGAGTGTTCATAGTAATTTATTCTTCATTTCCTCATCACCTGATGAACACTACAGTACTAACCAATAATTAAAATTCTCTCAGTAATTATATACCAAATCATCCTGTTTCACAAGATAACACCCACTCGCCTAATCATTGAGAACCCCCATTTCACCTTCGCACATACTCCCTGCCCCCCCCCATCAGCCAAACATTTCAAAACTCCTACTATAGTTACACCACTGGCACCTTCATACTGTACTGCATGTTTGACGTAAAACAGTAATTTACATTACAAAACTTCATAAAAAGTAAAAAAAAAAAAAATTATGAAAAACAAAATGATCTACCTCAAGCGCTGGAGCCCGCAATAAATAGTTAATTGATTGGACGACATCTGCTGCATGGATTTGATTATGGTATCGAATTTGCTTCTTGTAATGATCTTCTAGCGTCATCAAATAAGTCACCAGTGTTTTTGCTGGTATTTGAAACGTCTTTAAAAATCCCTGTTCCTGTATATAACAAGAAAATGTTGGGTACTTAATGTAAATTTTCTTTAATACATTATTTATTACCAAATTTGCAAAGTATATGTATGTCTCTTGGAAGGAAATACAAATCTTTTAATAAAAACAAAGTACAAGCAATATCATTATTTATATATTTATGTATCTGGGTCTTAAAAGCAAATGCCAATGATTAAATGCCCTGTTGGAAGATATTATTCATCGATGAAGAAATCGACTTTAATGAGGCAACTTAATTAACTTAGCGAAATGGTCTAAGGTACTAATTAGGTTGCAAAACATGAATAATAAAGAATACTCTACCATAGAGAGATAAGATCTCTATTTCTACCATACAATATTTATTTCTACCATACAATATTTATTGTCTTGGTCAATAAATCAAATTATTGGCAAAACAGTCTTTCAAATTGCATGTTGTTTTAAGAAACTGGGCACTGAGAATAATAATTCTTCCTTCATCTACAAGATTAATTGACTTGAAAGTTGCTTAATTTTAAAAATGATATAATATCATTCACGCTCCAAAATAATTCAGACAAGCCATACTGATTCAATATTTTGTTCTTTATTCAAAAGCGCATCGTATTATACTATCTTTAAATAATAAGTGGACCACATGGTGTTTTGTTTTTTTATGAATTTAATTTGTCAAACAACAATATAATAAAAAAAGAAAAATCGATTAATATATGGAATATAAAAATTCTGATTAATTTTGAAGATACAAACAATAGTATATTTGGGAGCTTAAGGCAGATTTTAAGGCAAACCTAACATATACTGACCTTACAATTAATTTACTTTATAGAAGAAATCAATGATTTCGTTGAGTGAAATAAAATCTAACTTTCTTATTCAATTGTTGTGTACCGGTAAGGTAAATGTTCTAATATTTAGGATCTATTTATATTAATATCTTCTGAATTTTGAATTTATTGTAAAAGAACTAGTATTTGTTATAATAAAGAATACTCTACCATAGAGTGAAGATCTCTATTTCTACCATACAATATTTATTGTCTTTGTCAATAAATCAAATTTTTTTGTGGCGCTGCTCTGCTAGCGACATGTTTGTTCATGGCTCTAACAAAGTTCATTTAATATTACTGTTTTTGGAGAAAGTAACAACTATTGTTACAGACTTTATCAATATTTGTGGTGTGTTATCGTCGTTGTTTGTGGAGACTGTGGATTCCTGATGTGTTTTGACGTGAATTCAAGCAGATTGGTATATAGTAGTCAGGCCCCAAAACTACGTCAAGCAAGGCCATTGTCTTCACGGAAGCCCGTCTTTGTTGATGGATTGCCGCGGGATATGAAACATAGGAAGCGGAGTAGGAGAGGGGGTGTTCGCCAAAGGTTAAAACGGAGAACTTTCAATCCAGAATGATTGGAAGTATACCAACAATTAAATAAAATAAAATAAAACAAAGAACTAAAATAAATGAAATCAAATTAAAAAAAATTAATAACATGAATGTATATAAATAAAATATATAAAATAAATAAAAATGAAATAAATAAAATATACAAAATAAATAAAATGAAAATATAAATAAATAAAATAAATAAATAAATGCACAAGAAAGTGGTAAACAACCTAGAAAAACCTTATTATGAATGATGTGTTAAAAATGGTGAATTTTGATGCGAGCTTTTCCTGTCTCAGACAATTAGTCAAATCCTCGGCCTTATAAGTAAGTATGGAGCAGTGACAGCCATACATCACCTCGCACCTAATTTTGTTCATTAAGCCAATGACATGCATTTTTGCTGTTGAGGGAACTGCACTGGTCAACCACTATAAATACTGCGATGCTCCGCTAATAGTACCTACTGTAGTTAGCATAAAATTTTTGTTTAATGACCATTTTACAGGCAAAAAATACCAAAACGAGATCTGGGAAAGAGGATAATGAACGCAGATAAATTACAGTGTATGAACCTTCGTCAAAAAGAATGTCAACTTTGTTATTAATATCCAATGCACCATTTACTAAGAATAATAATAAATGATAAAAATAGTACTGTAGATAATCACTGAAGCATTTCTTAAGATGACAAAAACCTGTTTTAAACACCAATATTGAAGATTTGGAATAAAAACAAAATTTACCTGTGGCCAGTTAACACACAAACCACCTTGAAATAAATTATTTTCATGAATGCTTTGATTATGTTTATAAACCTAAGATAGATTCACGATTCCAAATTACTTTTTTGGTTCTTAAAAAGGAGATCCCTGACAAGATATTTGAATGCCACTATACACATTTTAAACAAGTTGCAGTTTGGGTGAGAATTTTTTTTATAACATTTGAATGAAAATAAAATTTTTGGCCAGTTAGAGTACTGCCATGAAAAAATGAAAATTTCAGAAAAAAAAATTAATTTTTTTTAGTTTATTTTTATATTTCTCTTTAAATCTCTCAAAACAAAATCCTATATTTCTTACTTAATTAAATAAAGCATCTATCAATCCATTTACTACACTGTTTACGTATAAAAAATGATATTTTTATTTTCTTCTCTGAGTTGATGCTTGTAGCAAAACATTGTGCTATTATAAGAAAAACAAAATTTTATTTTATTCTTTCTGACAAACTTTAAAAAAGTAAGACTTACTAAACAAGATGTAATAAATGTTTTTGCCTGATCAATAAGAATGAAATGAAATATTATTAACGAAACTTCTTTTTTTTTGGTAAAAATATGATAAATATTTGAGTTGACAACATAATATTTTAAGTACAGTAAGGTATCAAACATTCCTCAATAAGGTAAAACCTTGATTAGAAGCCCAATGGGCTTAATCTCGAGAAGCCAATCTCGAATTCAAGCCCCTCTCTATAGCCCATGGGCTTCTTTTCGAGATACTACAGTACATACACTGTACATAAATTTCAAACAAACAAAATAAATTAAAACACGCTTGGTTTATACAGTAGTTTATGTGATTTAAGGCCAGTTAATATACTCCATGATACAGATTGATGTTACAGCGGCCCTATTTATTGTTTTATAGTACTAATTGCATTTTGAAAAGAAGCCCCCACCCCCACCCCATCCCCCGCCCTTTACTTTGCAATAGTAGCCTCAAAAAGAAAATCTCTAGAAGCCCATCTTGAGGTTTTATGGTATAACCTGTTCACTCTATTTTTAAACCATGTCAAACTTAAGCTTAAGTGAAAACCAAACATCAAATTTATCAGTACTACTAATAATTTATTATGATCTTCTTTATACAGTATGTAGAGGCTTTTAGCAGAACACACTGCAAGTGGCATAATATTATTTTATGCTTCCAGGAACTTAATCAGTAGAGACCTTGGCATGATCCACTTTTTAGAAAGTTAATAAACATCTTCTAAATATATAACAAGCACAATTTAACAATGAGAGGCACCCTATATCTTTCTAATATACATAAGTCAGTTAACATTATTTAAATTGTTGATGATGTAAATCGTATTTTATAGTAAAATGAATGAAAGTATACTTTGCAGATTTTACCACAACATGTAACCATCAAAACAGAATATTTAATATGAAAAATCTAGATTAATAGATGCAAGCCTTATACTACTATTTTTGGCATAGATATCATCATCATAACTTTCTTTTTGCAATAGCAGATCCACCACTATAATTAAATTGTAATGCTTGTTTTTACATCTTTTATTGTAAACCTATTTTGTGTGATTGTCATTGTTCCCTCTTTCTTTGATATTAGTGAGCTTTCAAATGCAAGAGGACATGGTACAATCTAGAACATTATGACGTCACTAATATTTCATCTGCGGATGCGAGAACGTTCTCTTCGTTGTGTGGATTCTAGGATGCAATTTGGCTAAATTTACGCTGTGCAGAGAACATAGGGCTGTCACGCATCAGTGAATCCGTTCTAGAGTCGGGTCGTCGCACAAATCGAATGCTCCCTATTAAGGACCCAATGGAAATAAGTTTATTTTTTAACTTTCTTGGGTTTTATTCCTCGGTTCATTCAGATAACGTCATTTGATTTGTTGTTTGATAATTTTGTAATTGTTTTTAGTATACTTGTATTTTAAATCTGAATGAGCTGAATAAATCTAAACTAATCTAATAATTTCTAATCGTCAATCATCAACATCATCTGAAAAATAATATTATCATTATGAGCTCTTCATACATTCTTGATAAAAATCACAAAAATAATGAAGAGAAGATGACTATAACATAAGTAAGATAAAAAGTCTTGAGTTTCACTACCTAACGCCCCCCACCCCCTCCTCCCCCAACAAAAAATAATTGACCAACATAAAAATAATAGGCTACAATTACAAAAAATGCATTGTGAAAGATATATTCATCAAAAAAGCCAGCGAAACTAGGCCATTCTATCATTGTTTGAAAGAAACTGTTTGAGAATTTTAAAGTCACCATCCTGCACGATGATTGACATCGTCATTCAATTAAAATGGACATCATGTGCGAGGACACAGCCTTTGTGTTATGTATGCGCAACAACATAATGTAAATAGCCATCAACCGCCAGGACATAGCCTTTCTTCAATGTGTGATGTCATAATTTTTTGTGCACGCTTGCGAATCATGCATAATGTGTGCAATTTAGCGAGAATGCAAACAACTCAAAGTCCCACGTTCCCATAGCATTTCATAATAATCATATTCATATCAGATTTCATTATGAAAAGATAATTCCGTAACTGAATTTCACCTTGTTAATGCTAAGCTGATGATATGCTATCTCAGTTTAGCTAATAATCCAGCAAATTGAAATTCAGTATTTGTACGATCTCACTTGGTGTTGACATTAGCTTTTCATTAAGAAACAATAATTTTCTTCAACAATCAAGAGATGCATGTGTTCAGTGTACAATGCAGTTGCTACCCTGTTGAACTTGTCAAAGTCGAATCCAAAATGGCATTGAAAAATTGTTCAATTTATATAAAATTTGACTTAAAGATCGTTTAAATAATGGAAAACACAACAAATTGGCATGACTAAGGTTGTGTTTACAAACTTTCAACGAAACCGGATAAGTAAAAAATGACATGATGCCCAGAGGGTAGGTCATTAGATCGCTCGTTTACAAACCCCAAGTTATTCGGATACGGACAGTAAGGTATAGGCCTTTCATGTAAACAAAACAAACACTTCACCGCTTAGCCTTCCTCAGCCCAACAAGGCAATTCAACAATGAATTACCTCGCCTTGCCTATGCTCGAACTCCAACCAATTCTAAAAAAACCCAGGCCTTGGAAACTAGAGCCAAGCCAACTGGGAAAATTACCAAAAAAAATTAAAAATTACCAAAAAACAAAGGGAAAAAAAAATAGCCTACGGACTTACTACTACTGTACTACTAGTTCCACTGGTGTTCAGAGCCGACAACGACGTGTCAACAGTGTGTGGTGGACAAGAAATGGATCTATCGCCAAAAATTTCAAAATACGGCCATTCTGTTGGGGGGAGGGGGGTTTCCTGACTTCCCGTTGGAGTCCTTTTCCTGGGTGTATTTTTTTGCACAGGTTCTTGCATTTGGTATTCTATCTGTGCGTGCGTAAAGTTATAACCCATTTCCCGCATCTTCTGTGCGATTTCTTTATAAACGGCGTTGTTCCGTCGGGTTTCATCAAAACCATCTTGTATGGATGTCGTTCCCCATATGCTAATTAACGTTTGGGTTGGTTTGTCAGTCCACCCACTCTGTTCAGCTGCAGCCATTGTATGGGTATATCATTGTAAAAATAAACTTAATATTTCGGCTTAAAAATTGGATAATATAATTTATTAAGCGAGGACTACTCTAGCGATGTCACTGGACAAAGGCATGGATGAAAAGAAATTGCGGACTCAAGTGCTTAATCTGAATAGATTTCTCATAAAAGTAAGGTCAGTTGACACCATGCTGTGGGCTATTGCGCCCGAGGCAGCCTCCAATCCTCCAAACTTATCCGGAAAGGATAAGCCCGGAAAGTCCAGATGTTTTAGTAATTATAGCTAGTTGAGGAATGATTAATTATCACCTCAGGCTTGAGTTATTCGGTTTTCGAAAGTTTGTAAACGGGCCCTCGAAATTATTCGAGAAAGTTTAACTGCATTCTTTAAATTGGCTGGTGATAAATTCAAGGACCTTCATAGTATAGCCTTGTATTAAAATCAATTAATTTTGGTATATGTCGTATTGGAAGTTTGATAACTTATTTTTTCCATTTAAAAATGAATTTTATGTTTCAATTAGACTTTTTTTTAGAAAGTTATAATCACTGTATACCTTTGTAATCCTAAAAATATCAATTTCTATTTTACTAGTTATAACCCATAAATTTGGCAAAGATTTAGCCCTCTGTCTTTGCAAAAACTATCAAGACCACTTCACATTTTTTTGACCAATGTCCATTCTCAACATATCACACAGACCATCCAAACCAAAGACAACGAGCCACTACGGTATCTTTTGCAGGTGGCAACACATAGCAGGCATATGATAGGGTCCAGGTGGGAATGCAATGGACAGTGGTGGTACCAGCTGCAAGGAAGGCATTTTCACCCATTGGTTGGACAGGTCTGGACACTCAGGTTGGATTCGGACGTAAACTCAATTACATGGGTAATCTACTATATAGCTTCGGGGCTAAATGTGACGGTCGTTCGGACGAGTAAAATAACAATCCATTTACCCATTAATTTGACGGAAGTTACGTATTTTACAAGCTTCTGCAAGGTCAGAATTCTGAATAGTTCGTGACCTGATTGACGAACCTGTGTCAAATTAGCAATGTTTTCGCGGCAATTTCAATACTTCATACACGAATTTACGCTATTTCTGCTTACTTTTTATAAAATTTACTCATTTCCTTGCGATTATCCTTACAAATTGATGCCGAATTATGATTAACCCAGCCGACCTAACCATCCTGACAACTTTTATATTGCTTCTCGACGACGGATTCGATCTAAACCAAGCTTTTCGACGAAGAAAGTACAGCAATGACGAAGACAACGACCAGCGTGGAAAGAAAGCTTGGGCAACAATGCGAAGAATCATGCACCGTGGTCGCGAGCTTCTTTTTTTCCAGTGCACTCTGACCCGGCATTGTTTACAAATCTGAAGGGTCAACTTGTGACCTGGGCCTTGTTACGAGTGATTAATTACGCCTTGAGGCAAGGTGTAATTGAAATATCCAGTAAAAAAGGTGGGTTTTTGGGACAGATGTTTTTCGAATTTTCTATACCCAGGGGCATTATTTAATTGCCGCACGCGACCGCTCAGCTGGTGGTACCCAGTTAAATTTTACTCGTCCGAATCCGCCCTCAGTCATCCAATGCCACGACAAGGTCATTGGATCGAATATTTTAATTTGCCTATCCAAAACATTAATTACTTTGATTGCCAATCCCTAAAACTGTGGTTTAAAAGCACAATTTTGAGCCATACGGCTGCTTCAAGGCAAAACAAACAACGTAACTTATAAGAACATAAAATAAGAACAGCAATGCTGTTTTGCCATGGGCAGCCGCATACTAAACCGTAAAAGCTGTCCCCATGAACCTTACCAGGAATTTTCATTCTAGGACCCTGATCAAGGCCCCTTGGTTCAGCCTCCTCTGTCAGAAATGTCGGACTCCTTGCCGGCTAATTTCTGGAGCCACCACTGGCAATGGATTGATGTCACAACAGTTTAATAAATGATCAGCATGAAAATATACTATTGAAATGCTCCAAAACTAAATTTAGGACACAAAAAAAAAAAAGCTTTCGAAGGTAACGGAAAACACTCTTTATAGTAGCAGAGCTTCAGAGGATCGTTTATCAAATTCTTTTTTTTTTTTTTTCAGTGCTATCAATAATAGATTTATATTATGTAGTTGCTTTACCACATCACAGCCAATCATAGACAGAAATCTCTGGATGTTATTATTTACAAGGATAGAAGGAAGGATGTGTTGAAAGTTTTAAGGAACTTACCTGTAGAAGTGTGTACGTAACTACAGTCAGAGGTCGGGATTGTGTGAGTTCATTGATCCGAAAAATATCAAACGACCATTTTTCAACATTTGCCATTTCCTGTAAACAAGTTTTAAGTTTTTTTAACACAAAGTATACATGGTTTATGTGGCAATGTAAATAATGTTGGTTTCGTGTAACCAAATATTTCCATATGAGTATTATTATAACAAATAAAAATAAATGCCCATGAAGTTTGTTTTTACTGAAGCGAAATTTTTTATAAAATGTTGAAAGGCTAAATGGAATTCCTTTCCACTTTCAGTTCGCGATTCGTCTAATTTGCTTTCTCTAAAAACTCTATTTATTACAGGAATGTTAACTAGCCTTATTTCCTCAAGCGCCTTTGATAAATTTGAATTGGTACTACATAACTATTTGTTATGTTATTATAAAAAGTATATGTGTTAAATATTACATAGAGAGACTGATCCTACTTATAGTTTACATGATGTATATTTTTCATTCGTCTTTTATTTGTTGATACAAAATGAATAGAAAACTTTCAGTGAAATGGCTTTTTGTATTTGTATAAGACAAGCCAAACCAGTCACTCGTCTCAAATCGTGTTTCAAAGATAATGGCCAAAACATGCTGCAATGTTAACATTTTTGAAATATATTTTATTGCACTGAAATTTTATATAACTATATATCATTCTATGTTGTTATTATCCCCACTTTCAATGTTAAAACAACAATTTTCAATGATTTGGTGATGGTTTCTGCCTGAGAAAATGCCTGAAATCGGTAAACTTTGAAGGTTGACTTCTCAAATATTGTTCTTTAAACAGCTGTATGTTTAAACTCCTGTAACTTCAAAACGAAATGTCAGATTTAAATGATTCTTTTACCATTTTATAGCTTTCATTTTACTGTTTAACTTTATATTAATGACTAAAAATCAATTTTTTTGCGAGCAGTGCCTGGTTTGGCTTTTCTTTGCCATATTTGTTTACAAAAATCAAATTAAATACACACAAAGCATTAAATTAGTGAACTAAGAAAGACTGGTGAACATTGCGGACATAAGCACACCAGTCATTGTCGATAGTCACAATAGCCACAAACTTCACGCATATTCTTACTTTATCGAGTTCCTCTTCTTTTAAAACGGGGATGCCATATTTTGGTACATCTTCTACTACAACGCTGTTATGATGTTTCAGTTTCTGTATTCCCTTAATTTTGCTCATTTCATTTGCCCTTTTCACGTTTTTCACATGGTTGATATTCTTCGGTGTATTCATAGTGGGCGAATCAACGTTTCCCCGATGATGCGGAATAGGTATATCAATTTCTCTTTCCTTATCTGAAATTAAATTTTTTTTTGTAAACGCATGACATCATTATGCAATAAATTACCGTAACAAAATCTTGGGTAACTAGTCAGATAAACGACTTAAGAAAATGGTATGAATTTCCAATTACTGTACTGATAGTAAGTGGTCAGACTTAATCCAACTCTTAAGGTATGGTAGTTAGAGGCAAAGCAAAGTAGCTACAGTATTGGTTGATTGAGATCATGTGACCCAGCAGATAACAGTTGCCAGATTGTTTATCCATATCCTGCAATTTAACTGCATCAAATTACTCTTCTTTTAGGTTGATTACAAATTTAAATAGAATATCGACTTAATATGAAGTGAATTGTCTTCTTTCATTTTCTAACCTTACAATCCCAACTTTATAGTGTATCTAGACAAGACCTTGCATTACAATGTTAAAAGTATAATTAAGATATCTTGCTAATTTGTAACCGCAATGTAATCATACCGTACTTTAAATAAATATAATGCATCATAAAATTCAGAGAAAATCCACATTGTTTGCAAATAACATTTCATAAGTATACAATAATTCTTCCAATTATACAATCTGATGTAGTTAATTTTTTTTAGCTAATTGAAAAGGTTTATAAAGTTTGGTTTATTCATTAAATCATCAACTTACAGTACATAAAAAAACATTAAGATAGGAAGAACAATAAAAAAAAAAAAACAAATCTGAAACACATGACAAAATTCAAATATACATTTAAAAAAAGAATTGCAATAATAAAATGAAACTAGTTAAAAAAAGAAGTTGATAAATAAGTTTGAAGTGACATGTTAGAGAGCAGCTTAGCTCAGTCGGCTAATCTGGTGGTAGCCACTGTGTGTGCGCTAAACTGTGGAGATCTCTAGGTCCCCAGTTCAATTCCTATCGCTGCCTCTCCTTATGTTTCAGCTGGAGATCTGAAATACAAGTTGCAATAGCGCACCGTCTTTCGGATGAGACGTTTAAGCCGTTGGTCCCATGTGCATTTATAGCCCACGTGCACGTTAAAGAACGCAGTACACTCTTCGGAAAAGAGTAGGGGATTGCCTCCCGGTGTACTGCCCAACAACCACCAGAAGCACAACAATGGAAATAAGTCTTCTTCTAGACTTTGGTGGGCTATCCTTACTGTTTACACTGAATAAATCCAATCCAACCCACAAGGAAATTTCTTCAACATTTATCCTGAGTGATTGTTCACAGTACGGTGAAATTAAACAAGATGATAAAATGAATCAATAGATTAGTTTCATAGAATAAAATATTAAAATATTAATCAGAAAATAAACTTACCAAGGAAAGTTTGAAATAAATATTCAGAGACTTGATTGCCCGACTTGCTAGATTCTGACGATGCCGTGAGTTCTCGCCTCAACATACGCTTGAACTGTTGGCATGAAAATATCGTTATGGAAAAATGTTACGCCTCAATAGTTTTAGAATTCGAAAAGGATTATAAACCATTTTAACGTGTAGAAACAAATTTCTTGTCATTAAAAAGCAAGTCGGGAAGTGTGCGGGTGAATGTTCCAATAAAAATATCACCTTTAAAGCAAATGGTATGTAAAAAAAAAAGATCGCCGATGGGCCCGTCATCATTATTCATAGCCAATCATGGTGATGTGCAGATACAGTATAAGAACTATTGGTACATACGCACATTCAATTTGTTAGTAGGGAGAGTATATATATGAACATGTCAGGAATTTACATGGGTAAATAGTATTCAGTTTAGTTGAAAGTATTTCCTTTGTAGTAGTTTATCACACAAATGGATATGGTCGTTTTTTTTTAAATCAGAGCCTACAATTGTTGCAGGGCACCAGAAGAAACCTATCCCTCCCACCTCCCCAACCACTTTACCTGAATAATTATATTATTGCACTTGTTATTTCATATCAATTAATCATAAAGGACCAACAGCTTATAATACGGAATAAGTAAACCAAAGTGTGCATTGAAGACGGATGAAAGGAACACCGAAGTCTAATCCCAATTGGCATATTCACGGGAGGGTGTGAACAGCGTATGCCCCTCCAAAAACAAGCTTGCAATTCATCCCCAGCTCCCCTCGCATTAACTTTAAAAAAACCAGGAACACGTTGTCCCATAAATGCAAGGTTTATGTTTGCTTTACAGACCTTAGCAATAGTATCCAAGGGGCGGGGCTTAATGGAAGGTCCATCATTGTGGTCACCCACTTAATTACCGATATCTGGCCAAGTGTCAATATTCCAAGATATGCAAATTAGGCTGATGGCAGTGTCAATCCCTATTACTCTGCTAACTTGCCATTTATGGTATAAGAATAATATGGATAGCATTGTGTAATGATCAATAATATATCATGTGTTATACATATTCTGTTTTATAGTCTTCATTTCATATATTTTACAAATGTATTACCAGTGGCGTATCTAGAAGCCTTGAAATAGGGGGGAGGGGGCGCGAAAGTGAAGTGGGTGGATCGATGATCAGTTGAGGGGTGTGATAATCAGTTGAGGGGTGCTAATTCGCAAAATATGGTGACGTTATGTGATTTTTAACTACTTGACCGTGATATTTTGGGGGGGGGGGGCATGCGCCCTCCGCGCCCTCCTCTAGATATGCCACTGTGTATTACCAGTTTTTTCATTATTTCCGACAGTTTAGAATGTCAGGCAGGTTCATGTGGCAGTCATGTTTGGTATTTGAAAAAAAAAAAACCCAACTATATGATATATTATAAGAAATATTATATTTATTTCCTGTGTATATCAATTAAATTAATTTCTTGCAACATAAAAGAAAAAAAAAAGGAAAAAATATTATTAAACAAATTTTGATATATAATAAAAACACAATGTGTGTACAGTATATATCAATCAACTCATCGTTAAACAGATACATAATTTGTAAGCATGAGTGACTTGAGAATTTAGGCTAAATGACCTTTGAACTACTATAAATAGGAAATAACTTAATCAAGGTTTAATCTACTCTACAGACTTAAGATATGAACTAGATTAAACCAAGCACACCCATTAGCAATTGCGCTAAATTCATAAATACTGTAGTATTGAGCCCATGTGAGTGGAGGAGGTCATGTCTGTGTACAGGGTATGGTTAGGGAAGGGTTCAACCAGGGGTGAATCTAGGCCGGGATATTCAATATGGCGAACTGATGGAGCTGCAATTGAAAAGTGAGGAGAGACAGCTATGTGAATGAGGTGATTTAAGTAATAATCTGCCCAGCTAATTTCTAGTAAGGGGTTCTTTGAGGAAGCAAAATTTTTTGTGGGTTCATGATCCCTCTTCTCATACCTAACACAACAGACATACCACTCATTCAAGTAGATTTATTTACATTCCATGCAATTGTGTATGCATCAAAATCCCAGCCTAATGTATGCGTTAATGTGGACACTGATAGAAATATTTCTTTGTATTTCTTTTCACAGTACAATGCAACATCACAATTTTAAAAATATATTTACTTAATATATAAACTTATTTGTTAGAAATATTAAAATAAACACATAGGTTTCTTTTAAGTAATCTTGAACCATTATGAACTTCTTCAATTTTTTGACATAAAATATTAAAAATTAAAATATCAATGTACAGTACAGTTAGCATTCTGGAATACTTATAGATGAAACGTATTTTATTTAGCCAATAGTGGATGCTGGCTTGGCCAGGTGACTGAAAGTGCAATACGTACCTTACTTGTGGCCATATCACTGACCGACCTGTGTGTTTGCATAGTCTCTAACTGTTCCATACACCAATCCAATTCCTCCAGAGTGTCTGATGCCAGCTTTTGGATTGGTTCATCCACTAGTACAAAAAAAAAAGAAACTTAATCCTAAAGGTAGGTAAACATATAGGAGAATAACGTATAATTTACAGCGTCGTTGTGCTGAATTGCGTATGGGCATGGTCCGTGACTACCTAGCCGGCCGCCATAAATAGGCACTTAAAGTAGCTACATTACGGTCACATCATTGATGACAGGGGCTGAATTGAACCGTATTATCGGGGTAAACCCCCTACGCTTCTGAAATTAGGCAATTCAATTTCTATATAAAAAAAATGAAAGTGTGTACTTTAAGATTTAATTTGATGTATAATTTACATACTTTCCTGAAGTTTGAAAATATGCTCAAATTGGAAGAAAATCATGAAATTGCCCAATGGGTTCTTTAAAAGTGCCCACAAGCGCCAGACGTGTATATTAGATCTGAATTTTAAGCCGTTATCTGAGAAGACTTGGTTCTACCATCCGAAGCCTGTGCAAAGAAGCGGCCGGAACCAGTGCTGTAGCTGCAGTGTCCCTGCCTTACTGCTTGGCCAACATGTGGTGTTCACTATACCGTCTAGTGGTGGCGCCAGAGGGGGGAATGAAGGGCTACAGCCCCCCTCCGTCGGGGAAGCATAGTCCCCCCCTGTCGGTGAAGACGAGTAAATTTTGTTGGGTAATAAACAAATAAATAAATTATTTACCTTCATTAAACTATTTGTGTAAACTTTATTAATAATAATAATAATAATAATAATAATAATAATAATAATAATAATAATAATAATAATGATAGGGGAAGCACCTTGACCTTGACAGCGTGGTTGACAGATTTCATGCAAAATTTCCAAAATGTAGAATTTCACTTTCAAGAATGAGGATTTGAAAATAAATTAGATGGTTACATTACATACTCTTTGTTTTTTGCTTTGTTCAAATGTTTTGGTTTTGGATGCTGATTTCGACATTAGAAAAATAGCCTACATAAAGTCATATTATAGTAGCTTGATGCCTATCAAATAAGTAATAAAAATTCACCATAATTCGTCAAATATCCGTAACTTCCAGGAGGCGAAGCCCCCTGGACCCTCACCGGGAGCCATAGACAGCCCCAGCCAAGTGAGACTCGATTCGCTCCACATTTCTCATCCCCTTATACAACACACACCCATTCATCGCATACCCTTGGCCACATTTTCCTATCCCTACAGCACAATTACGGTAGCCTTGTTGCATTTACCATTCAACCGACCAATGGCCTACAGTAAACTCTCAGCCACCTTTTTCTACCCATGCTCATCACCATCTACAAAACACACCCTCAGACACTTTTACATGTCTAGGCTCCCTATCTCTTCCAACACAACCTCGGCCACCAATAACCTATAGTGCCTTTGTCCATCAAATATCAAAAACGGGACCCTAAGCTATCTTCGCCTAGATGATTCCAAAATACACTACTAGACTCACTCCAACTGCAACATACTTTTTCTTTGCATATACTCACTGGATATTGTCCCTGACTTGGTGCTCAGATTTGGCACTCTTGGTGACTGTCTGAAAAATGAATTATGGAAAGGAAATAAAAAAATACATGTTACAGTAAGAATGGAATAAAACTACCAGAATACTGTACATCAATTTAGGTTCTGTCACAACGCTACTCTGCATATGAACTACCACAATACTCCCAATAAAAAGTAAATCAGGCAATTTGAGATGGTGCTGATGATGATAATAGAGGATGATAATGATTATGATGATGATAATAGAGGATGATGATGACATTGTTGAGAATGATGATGATGGTGATCTCAATCAATCCATGAAATGAAACTATATAAAAATGAAAAACATATAATTAATATAATTGATTGGATACAGTTAATTATGAATGATGATGATGATTTTGATGATAATGATGATTTATTTGATGCAAGGGTGTTACATCTAGCCGAAGCTGACCATAATGATGATAATAATAATAATAATAATTACTTTATTTAAACACGGAAAAACTTGATCACTCAAAGGTGTATTTCATCAAGGCCGTGCAAGGCCATAAGTGGTAAAATATAAAAATACAAATGGTAATGCATAATGATGATGATAATGAGGATGACAATGATAATGATAATAATTAATAATACAGATATACTAATTAATAGACCTGATAATAACTTTATCGAAATGTACACTTTTATAGCAGCGGCACTCACTATTGAATGGTGTGTTCACAATGAAACGTTCAAAGAACACAGTACATTCATACTATTACGACTCAGTTCAGTATAAAAACGAATAATACATAAAAACAGTAAAATCATGACATATTTTAAAGTTCAACATTAAAAATGAGCATTAAAATAACAAAATTTCAAATTAGAATGAGAATATAAGGCAGCGAAAAATGAAATAATACACAACAGAAGATAAAGAGGAATGTAGAAGTATGGAGTATGATTTTGCTGGAAGAAAAAAAACAGGGGGAAGTGTACAAGAGACCACGTCTCTAAGAATTACTTTAATTAAACCTTTTCTCCAGTTCATTGATGCAAGATATTTTCTATTATAAGGTTGTTTTTGCAATCTAATGTACCTAGATATAGTAATAGATCCGAGAATATAAGGCAGTGAAAAATGAAATAATACGTAACAGGTAAGAGGAATAAAAATGTATGTAGTGTGATTTTGCTGGAGGAAAAAAAAAATAGGTGGATGTATCCATAGGCCATGTTACAGTACAACTGTTCTCTAATGCACTGATGCATGGTATTTTCAACTATACGTTTTTTTTTTTAGAACTTATTTCAATTTTAGCTTTGATAAATTAAGATAATCTAAGTCTGCATTACAAGGCCTCCCCTACAATTTGTCTTTTATACTCAAACGACTTGCATTCAGTTTGTACAAAAACGAAGTACAGTATGCAGATGGGAGGTCAAAGCTTCTAAGTATCTTAATCTAATGCTACTGAAATGAAAGACAGCATCATACTTTGTATAGCATTAGCAATTTGTTCATGTCATAGAATAAAAAAATCATTATGCTGATAGGCAAAATGACCGTGTGCATTATATATATATATATATGTTATCCAATCACAATGTTGGCAACACATTAAAACGAGAGATCTTAACTCGTATTGCTGTTTGGCTATTTGCAAGATTAGATGTGAAATAATGCTTTTATATTTGATACAGAAACGTTATGCTTGTTATGTTTACTATGTTGTAAAAGCAATTTACTGGAGTTATATTCCCTGTCTAAGTAAAAATAACAAAACGTTGTTAATGCAATGGGTTAATCAATGTAAACCACACAATATGCAACTTAACAATATCTATATTTCTATTGACCAATCCCTGATTTGCCCCTCCACTGTCAAACTGCTCCTCACCCAGTAAGTCAACAATTGCTTTTTTTTTCTTTCAGATTTTATATAGGCCTATATCAATGTGTTCTTCTGTGAATTTCATAACATTTTTGTGATCATGTGCATGTTTTTAGCGGATATTGGCCCATGATGGCATTCAAAGCACTAAAAGAAATAGAATAGAATTAAATTGAATATAGAAGCCTATAGAAGTAGGATTGCAGATATGCATTAGTACCATGGAGGTATTATTGAGGAGGATATCACTTGGCAACGGATCCCTTTGACGCGACAAAACCAACGTGTTGCCTGCCTTTGGATCGCGTGCGGGCGCATATCTTTATTATTACCATTTTTTCGTTAGCAACAACATGCTTTCATACGCTTCAACACAGCAGTTGTGTGATAAACCGTTTTAACTCATTAAATATCTTTAAAATTAACAATGTTCCCTTGAACAATGTTCCCCTGAAGGACAGATTTCGCAAAATATTTCTGTTGCAATTACTTCCGTCTTTATAATAATTTTGTCTAAAATCTGCCATAGATCCATGTTACAATCATTATTGTAGATTTACATTCAGTGCTAAATACTGTAAATATGTTGTCATTTCAGTGACAAAATCATCCAATCATAAACTCTAGATGCTGACATTTAAAAATCCAGTTCCTGCTGTTAATTGATTCAATTATAAACCTTTGATCTTGTTTATTTTTCTGCTTCAGATATTTTGACCAAATTAAATTTTTTGTACACTATTTATACATTTGTGTTTTTTGTTGACAGAACCACTAAAGGATTTTACAACTTGGAACCAATCATAATCTTGTATAACAATTTAATACCTAAGGTAGCTAGTGAATTGTTGATTATATGTATTTCTGGTTGTTATTTTTACCATTCTGCAAAGGTTATAGGTATTATCTCATGAGTAATCATGTTTTTTTACTCATAATTCAACGCCTACCATTTTCAAGTCATTTCATCTCTTCAATTTCCTCTTCATTTTCCCCCATTCATTCCTTTACATCTTCTTTCCAAATACATTTCTGGGTCTAAAGTTTGAAGAACCAACTTCCGGAAGATGGGTTAAACGAGCACATTTTAGGGTTTTATTTTGCTGCGTGTTATAATATCAGAGATCCCAATTCTCCCGAGAATTGCGGGTTTCTCCCGATTTTTGAGGCCGTCTCCCGCCCTCCCGATTTTTATTAATATCTCCCGATTTTTTTTTAATATCCCGAAAATTTCACGAAAAACGTGATTTCCACGATGTCATAGAGCAATGAAACAAAATTTCTTATCTTAAGCCAATATACTATGGCGCTCGCTCAGTCATAAAATGTCATAAACAAGGCCAGGGAGTTGTTATTTAAGTTGTTTATCAAAATAACAACTCAGGGCAAGGCAGAACAGACTTGTTTATCCTCCATGTTACGATCTTTTACATCCAGTGCCGGCCAACCTCATTCAATGAGATTGATGTCAGTTGAGTAAATAAATTTCAACAAATAGTAATGAAATCAGAAATCACATGGGAATGGATGGGGCCTGAAATTTTCGCCGCGAAGATTTGGAAGAGAATCGTTGCATAAAAATTACTTTTTCTTTCAAGTAAGCTTCAGTTCTTTAATAACAATACTAAAATAATTATAGTTAATAGGTTTTGGTATTAAGCAGTCTTCCGAAAAATGAAGTTTATTTTAATATCGATCCCGAAATACATGTAGGGCTTAGGCCTAGGCTCTATCTGCAACACTGCAGGGTATGTACTGTTATGTGTGTTGTGTTGGGTGGGCGTGTGTGTAGTGGTGGTTGTGACTCTGCGGTATTAGGCCTAGTTACGCACGTATACAAGGAGCCTTGCGAGGCAGGATTTAATGTTTTTTTCATGGCATTATGTACCAGTTCTTATAGGCTAGACATATATAAATGCTGACTTAAAACATGTAGTATGATTTACTAACTAAATTAAAATATATATTTTTTTTTTATTTTTCAGCAAACGTGTGAATCTTGCAAGTTGCAGTTACTTGCTAGAATTCTATGTTCTTTGATGAGATGTAATAAATCAGCCATAGCCTCTAACATACCAATGAACCAAGCAAAGCCTTGTTATGCCAATGCATACAAGCAAAGCCTTGTTGACTGCTGCCAAGAACGCTTTACTAGCTAAATGCTAAATAAATAATAATATTTATAAATTTATATTTTAGGCCAACTGCAATGTGTAAACAAATGTAAAATTGAAAAAACACATTGATGAAAATTGTTTGTTTTCTTCATTTTGTGTAATACTTTCATGTTGCACAGCGCGTTGTAAGGCGTCACAGCGCGTCGCTACAGGAGGCGATCGCTTCATGAAAAAAATCTCCCTATTTTTTGGTTTTCAAACTTGGGATCTCTGTAATATCCAAAAGTACAAAGTTTGAGTAGGCCTCCTACCTAGCCTACAGCTGTAGTAGGCCCAGCTAGGCAGCAGTACCAAAGGACCAAGTCCCAAGACAATGACTTGCATTTGCAAGCTGTTTTCCTGGAGAAAATTTATGATACAGTATAGAGTAGAGGAAAAAACATGCAATATCATGAATTTTCGGAAGATGGGTTAGTCTCCAGAAGATTTTCGCTTGCTCGCGGGATTGATGGAAACCGATTTTCAGGAGACTTTGGATCCCTGACATAGTAATCTGCCTATTGCACCCTCCAATTTGGGACCACTCTATTACCGACACACCTCTAAATAAATACAAAAAAACAGAAAAACAAAAGGGTAAATTTAATGAGATTTTTAAAAGATTGTAAGGAAAGTGAATAAATTTTGCAACGAAGGTCTGATTATAGATTATTCCATAATTTAACTAAACGATATTTAAAAGTTCTTTTTTACTTTGGTTGACCCAAAGGTAGTCTCAAAATTGGAGGGCAAACTACATCTTACTCCTCTATTGCTTCCATTGTTTCCAATCAGTCAGTCAATCAATCAATCAAACAATCAATCAGTCAATCAATCAATCAATCAATCAATCAATCAATAAAATCATTCACTCAACTTTTATTTACTTTCTATGACATGTTATCACATTTTGACATTCCCTGTTCTATACCCACACCTCAACACCTGCAGTCTGTCTTTCCCTTCAGCAAGTTTTACACACACAGTGCTTCATATCTTTCAACAATCCTAATTAGCTGTAGTGTAGCAATGGATTAATAGTTTGTAATTAATTAAGGTTGCTGATTGCAATGGTTGTGGTACTGTACATAAAATTATATAACATTCAGCTGAAGTCGAGCTCCAAAGGAAAAAAAACAAATTGTAATTTTATATTTTGTAAGTCAGATTTTTTCAAGACTTGTGAATGGTTAATGAGATAAAGACTTTTTAAATTTAAAAACACCCTTTTTACCGTTTCCCCTTCTTAGAAAAAAATCAATTGTATAACATCAAAACATTGTTTTCCTCCACAGCCTGGCTTTAGTTTTATATCAACTACAACTTCACTTAAAAATATTGTAGTAACAGGTCTAACACTAAATTTAAACTGTCAGAGCAAAATAATTTTTTTTTCTACCATGAATTCTGATATGACATTATATTCAATCCTAACCACAAACTACTTTACCATGATCACCATACAGTTAAAGCTTATGTAGCTTTCAACATCTATATTTGGATTCGGCAGGATTACAATTTCTTTAATGATTGCTACCGCATGATAATGGCAATTACCGACATACTGGTACTTGTTACTATTCATCCAATGTAATACTGTACTACAAATCTTCCGCTGCATAGCTAGCATATCAGAGAGTATGAACTACTTGCACTTGCCTATTTATGGGAATGCAGGTGGTGCGCACCCTCCTCCTCCCAAAAACACTTGTTTCCCCCCCCACCCCCGACACCAAACACTGGAAATTTTCAAAGCAAATAAATTAGGCTCAAACAGTTAAAAATCATATCACATTATTTTGCCAGCTAACACCCCCTTTATTAATCATTCTTTTTCTTACCCAGCTGATGGCATTCACCATGTTTATGATTTTGCAACTATAGTATTATGGGGTCCCAGGACAAAAGATTCATCATTGATCCCTCTCGCTTCATCTTCACAACCCCATGAGATTTCTAAGATATGCTACTGGTATATTTAGAAAGGACATTTACTAGCTCTTAATAAGGAAATGTCAGAAGCCCCCATCGGAAACTGTTTGAGCAAAATAACTATGCTCAAGTGGTTAAAAACACCTCACTCACCAGTTGGCATTTATTGGCATTTATTATTTCTTTCCGCGTGCTTTTAGTACTCAGTCGAGACGCAGATAGCTCAAATGCTAGCCTCAAGTGGAACATAGACTTTCCAAAATTATGTTGGATGATGATAAACATGATGCAGTAACAAAAAGATGTTTTAAGGTCATATTGAAACTGTTCATGATGATGATCATAATATTGAAAATACAGTATAAAAAATAATAAACACTAGTCATAGAAATAGAACAGACTTTCCAAAATTAGTTGAGTAGGATAATGACAAACATGATGTGGTTATAAATATATATGTTTTAATGTCAATATTGACACTGGAAATTGTTGATGATATAAATAATTTTATAATATATAATGTAATATATAATATATTTGACTACATTTTTGTGATTGTCACATGTAAATGGCGAATTTTATCAATATTTCTTTTTTATGCAGTAACGTTACACCAGTCTTAAACAAATTTCTATGACTGGACGCAGGGTTCCCGGAACGCCGCCCTCAGCGGCGAGTGCGAAGCACAACTCAGGCTCAAAAGTGGAACATGAATTTGGATATGGTTTTGTAGTCAGATTTGCGAGAAAAACTTCAGCTACCCGTATTTCTCGACTGAGACGTCAGTAGGAGCTGTAATTTGTATGGCAAGGAGATTGAGTAACCCTTCATTCCCTTCATTCATATTAAGGGAATTTACGCCCAGAAACTTTGTAGTTATTAATATTTTGGTTATGATAGAAAATATTCATTTTTTGGTGACGTCACTCTCACGTTAGTTAGCATGCATACGTCATAAGGTAAATATGTCACCTTTTCCTAGTAAGGCAAACTTTCCCGGCGTGCTTTTTTCATGGATAAACAAACACCACTGCTTTGCACATGGATGCCTTGCCCAAGCCAGGGCTACAAGAGCCGCATTGTTAGATGCATTGT